GAAATATAGGTGAAAATGTAGTATAATATTATTCTGAATATTCATAATTTTCGAGGTAGAATTAGATGTGAATTCATATATAAATTTTGAAGGGGATAAATTGAATGCTCGATATTATATAGGAACTTTATAAGTAAGCAACTCTAACTGTGAGCACAAAATTTTGTATCCAACAACAGTTAAATTTGCTCATTTGAATAGATACTACTTTACCAGTAATTATATCATTTTGATCTTTTTCTTTTTATGAAAAAATAGATATATGTGATTCTCCGTTATTCAGGTGAATATTGTAATTTTCTTGAGTGTTTCTATTTATGAATGTACGTTGAATTTATTCAATGACGATGAAAACATAAAATAGACGAAGAAACGTCTATCTCAACAAGAAAATATATCAAAGAACGAAAAGAGGTTACTATTAAGATATAATGTGTGAGAACGCAATAGAAAAAATTGACAATTGATGTTCATATAATTAACTAAAGGTCTGAAAATAAAGTAAAATGATAAAATTAAACATGAAAATTGTTCTTTCTTGCCCGGGCTACTAACTAATTGAGTATTGAACAATAAATCATGGTGTTATATAAATAATGAAAATTTTTGAAAGTATTTTTATGTAAACATATAAATTGGAGAGATAGCCAAGTTAAATTGCTAGAAAAAAAAACCTCCTGTTAGAGAATTTAAATCTGAGAAATCATTACTAATGCAATAAACTCTTTGTTAACGATAGATATCAATTTCGTATTCCATTATTTTCCTAAAAAAAACTGAACGATAACTAATTAAATGTCAAATTTATGAACTAACTTTTTACTAAGTAATAATAAAGCACTCATTGAAGTATTTCATTCATTTTCAAATTGATGAATGAGAGCAGTTGTTTTAGTTCAAATCATTAGTTAATGATCAACAGTATTTTCGACAGAAAAAAAAATAATTTTTCAATGGTTGTCTCAATTAAAATTGAAATTATGCTTCTTCCTATTTTATTCACATTATCAACATGACAATCAAATACATAAATAATCAGCAAAAACAACATCAAACTGATGGTGTTCTTTTTGTTTTCTTCACTCGTAATAGAGAGAGAAAAAGAAAATACCACGCGCAAGACAAGATATCTAATATGCAGTAAGACTCAAGTTATTGCACGCATGAATGACAAACGAAAATTGCAGAAAAACTAATCATAAAGTAAATGATGTTATCAATTTTTTTTCGACATTCAATTACTTTTTTTTTAACAACCGTATCTTCAATTGACACGAAGTATAGTTTGTTATTGAGTATCATGGAAAAAAACCCACATTGGACTCCGTAGAAAAAAACACAGAGCATCGAACGTAAAAATAAAGCAAGTAAAGTTCCAGCATGCAGCAATTTACTATCGTATCATTCACAAATAAACATAAAAAAACCAATATAACCGTCTGAATGAATCCA